GCCGCCGCTGCCGTCGGGGCCGGGAGCGGGGCCGGGGCCGGGCCGGGGCTGGGGCCGCTCGCTGCCTCCCGCGCCGGAGGGGTGGATTTTTCCATCCCGGCGTTTTCTGGGGCGTTTTGTGCTCGGCGGAGGGAGAGGGGGAAGAATTTCGATTTTTAATTACTACCATTAAAAAAATCAAATTTGCAATTCTTTGGGTGGCCTGATGGATTCCCTGATTGACAGCCGGAATTGACACTCTGGTACCTCTTATCTCGGGCATTTACGGCAATTTCTAATTGCAGGTAGTTTGGGGGGTTTTTCAGCGCCTTGGCTCGCATGGGAACCGAGCGATTACTTCAAGAGGCCCGGGTTAAGTGCAGGCAGGGGGAGAATTCAATCCACATTCAAATTGCTTCATTAAAGAGACGCAGCTTTTGTTGCAAAGGATTTAAATGGCCACTAGAAAGTTCTTATTTATTGTTTTGAGGCGGTTTATATAGGGTGCCCCGCGCTCGCCCGGCGCATGGAGCCGCAGCCTCCCTCTCCCGCTCTCTCCATCAAGGTGATGCCGCCGGAGCCGCTGCCCAAGGGGAGCGCCCGCTGTCTCGATCCGCACTCCCGCGCCATGGTAAGCGGGGCCGGGGGCTGCGGCGACTCGCCGGGACCCGCCGGGCCGGGGATGCGGGGACGCACTGGGCCGGGGATGCCGGGAGCTGTGGGGATCCGCCGGGCCGGGGGCTGCGGGAACGCGTCGGGCCGGGAATTACGGGGTTCCCGCCGGGACCCTCCAGGCCAGTGCTGTCAGGGTTTTGTGGGTGCCCGCCGGGCCGGGGATGCCGAGAGCGTCGGGGACCCGCCGGAACGCTCCGGTTCGGGGCTGCGGGGAACGGCGGGGCCCCGGCTGACGGCCCCGCGGCGGCTCTGCCCGCAGTCTCAGCCCGACGGGGAGCCGCTGCCCGGCGCCCTGGAGAAGGAGGACGCCCGCTCAGCGCCCAGCACTCCGTCCACGCCGTCCGTCTGCTCCCCGCCATCCTCTTCCTCCTCCACGCCGTCGGCCGGCAAAAACGTCTGTTCCAGCTGCGGGCTGGAGATCCTCGACCGGTACCTGCTGAAGGTGAGCGGGGCGGGGGGCGGCGGGGGCGGCGGGGGGCGGCGGGTGGCCCTGGGTCTCAGCCTCTTCTCTGCCGCAGGTGAACAACCTCATCTGGCACGTCCGGTGCCTGGAGTGCTCCGTGTGCCGCACCTCGCTGCGCCAGCAGCACAGCTGCTACATCAAGAACAAGGAGATCTTCTGCAAGATGGACTACTTCAGGTAGGGACCGGGCCGGGGCCGCTCCGAGGGGCTCAGCCGCCGCCGGGTGCCGCGGGGCCGGGGCCGCTCCGGCACTGCCGAGGGGAAGGTTTGGAAAAGCCGCCGGGCTCCCCGGAGCAGCCGGGCGGGAGACGACCCTTGGAG